AGTGCAGAATGAGAAAAATGAGGGTGAAACGTTAGCGGCGGACCTCGGGCGGTCGTTCAGATGTGATGGTTGGATGAAACACCGAGAAAGACCGACTGATACAGAGTGACATGGTCATGATTACTGAGGAAAACCAAAAATAAAACTGAGCTGCAGAGTGGACGGAAACACAAGAAGATATTATCAAAAGAAAAAAGACAAATGAGGAGGCAATGATGAGGGAAATGGAAGGGAAAGAAAAGAAAAATGACAGAGATACAAGAGCGCCACCAACAGGAATTGAAGATTCCGGGAGTAAGAGAGAGAGAGAACCCAACGTTGTCTTTTGTATCAGAAGCACGAGGCTCAGTGATGAGGGTCTTTCTGTCAATGAACGAGTTTCTGTGTGTGTGTTTTTTTTTGAGTGTATGAGATGCTGATGGGGGGGGTGTGATGGGGTGAGGAGCCTTGGGTGGGGCACTTACGTGAAGGCGAAGGCCACCAGAGCACCACTAACCACTATAAAGTCCAGAATGTTCCAAAGGTCACGGAAGTAGGAGCCCTGGTGAAGAAACAAGCCCAGCACCACCATCTGGAAGATAGGGGGTATTGTTAGTAGATCGCAACACACACACACACACAGACACACACACACACACACACGAACAAGCATGCAGAAATCACAAATCCACAAGGTCAACTGGAGTGTACCCACACTGACACACACTGATACTGTGTTACCTTAATCAACATTTCAAATGTGAAGACGCCTGTGAAAACGTAGTCAAAATAACGCAGCACCTGAAAACACAACAACAACAACAACAACAACAGTGAGAGGAGCAAAGAGTCAACAGCACAGGAACCAGGCTGAGCTTAAACTCCATGTATGTCATGTCTCAACAATTATAATTAGAAATCTAACCACACCGAAAGTTTCAAATTCACAAAAAACTCAATTTTTAGATCCAGGATTAAAGGGATGCCAGTGATGCCGTTACTGCCATAGGAAAAACTTTTTTTTTTTAAACTTGGAGGTCACTGACCTCTAACTTCGACAAGTATGGCATGGCTGAATGTAACACACACACACAGATCACACAGTTGTGTCTCACATTGTTTCTCGGTGAGTCCGGCCACACGGGGTCCTCCGCAGCGAGGGCGATGCTGCTCATGGCGATGACGGACAGGATGCTGAACTCAAAGTACTTCAGGGTCAGGATGTAGTGACAGCACACCCGAAACCTGCAGGGACGACGGAGGTGCAGGTGTTGATGACGGGGCTCCACCTTCAACATTTATAACCAGAGAATTCAGAAACTCACGGGTTGGTGGTCGACAGGATGAAGCAGGAGCTGAACGGAGGCATCGGTTTGGGTCCGTCGTCATCTCCGCCTTCGTCCTCCTCCTCCTTCTTCTCCTCACTCTTTTTCTGATCCGTGTTGGCGTTCCTGTTTACTACGCAACACAAATCCAAGAGAGACACTGCGTTTAGGCCGATGGACGAACGGAAGGACGTCGACGGATTTACCTCCGTTTTTAGCTAACGATATTCTTGAGAATACTCACTCTGCAGGATGGCGTTGGTGGACGGGTACGGGTAGACGGGGGGCATGTCGATGGCTGTGTAGTCAGGTTTGACCATGCTCGTGAGGATCAGACTGTCCATGCTGTGCAGGAGGGTGTGTGTGTCGGAGTCGCGGCAGTTCAACAGGTTGTTGATGTGGTCGGGGTGGTCCGGGTGGTCCGGTGGGAGGGCGTAAGGATGCTCGTGGGCGATGGCAAGTTTGCTGTTGTTGCGGAAGTTGTCCAGGTCCTCGTTGTACTGCTGGATGGGTCGGGTGGTGGAGAGACTGAGAGCGGGGCCGTGGTGTTCTCTGAAGAGCACAGACGCAGAAAATATATTTTAACAACTGAATGCCCCCCCCTCCCCACCGCAGTAAACTTACTCCGACATAACTACAGGGATATACAGTAGGAAGTGAAACTCTGTTGGAACTCACTTTCGACTGCGATGTCCCCTGCTCCTGTCCTGGTTGCTATGGCGATGCCGTCTGGTCTTGCGTCCCTCTCCATCCTCCCCTTTCTCCCTCTCTACATCTCCCCCCTTGGATCTGTGTCTCCTGCTGCCTTCCTCGCCCTCTTTGTTCGCCCTGCGGTGCTGCTTGGACTTCTTGTGCTCGCCGTTGCCCTCTCCACCCTCGCTCGGGTGTGGTGACGCACTGCAGGTCTCCTTACCCTCCCGGTTCCTGTGCCTGTGGCCGCGGTGGCTCCTGTGACTCCGCCTCTCTTCGCCCTGCTGACCTTCAGCGCTGACCTCCACATTTCCCAGAGACGTGCAGCTGAAACCGTGCTTGACTTGAGTCTCTGTCGTCTGACCCGTGTCTCCCGCCTGTGGCTGAGTGGTTTTCTGGTGGTGGTGGTGATGGTGGTGGTGGTGGTGGTGGTGGTGGCTGTAGTGGGAGGCTCGGTGGACGTGGTCGATGTCCTGCTGACGGTACTCCTGCTCCAGAGGCAGCTCGCCAGGTGGAGTTTTGTTGGTGTTGTTGTTGCGGTTGTCCTGCGGGTTGACCACCAGGGGTCGGTCTAAGTGGGTCTTCATGTCACCACGAGCTTTTCGTGGGTAGGACACCTGGTTTTTAGGTGATAAATTGAAAGGATCAAAATATTTACAACTCAGTGTGAAGACAGCTCTTCAGTGAATGTGTGAACGCAGGTGAGTTACGGTTGGAGCGAGGGATGAAATGGCAACATGAAAAGACAACTTCAAAACTTTAAGATCTTTAGATCAAATCGGAGAAAAACCAGGTCAATCATGCAATTTGTTAAAAAACGATAACCTCATAGTAACAGGACTATAAACACAAATAAAAACTTGTTGCCATAAACCAACCGTGGTCTCTTTTTGCTGGACTTTCCTCCCCCCTGCTGCCCCCCCCTCCTAACTGCTCCCTCCCCTGAGCCAAAGATATACACAGTTTGGCAAACAATCCACCATTTTTGGTGTCAATGATCAATTTTGTACCAAAATTGTCACGAGGATTTCAACCACAAAATGGCAACACAGCCGGAGCTGCGTATCTTCAGTTTGCCGAACCATATCCAGTCGACTCCTGAACGTCACGTCTGCTGCCACCGTTCAGTATCTGTTCATGGCCCACTTTGTAATGCATCACTTGCACGAGGCGTGCAGCTCCAGGCTGTCCCATATAGCAGCAGATATAGCGCAATAACAACACACTTTCACAACCTTAAAGGGACATTTACCATAAGAGCGCCAGAGGAACGCAGTTTGACGTGGACAACAGTTAACGTACAACATCACATTGAACTGATAAAACCCTCGACTAGATGTAAAGTCACAGCAACAAAAGAAATCTTTGCGATTGATTCTTGCAACGTGTCGTCAGTCTGCTGCTGTCCACAAAGTGAAAGAATCTGCTAATAATGAAGTACGAGAACGACAGGAAGTTCTGCTGCCACGGAAACCATGCTGTGATTATTCCTGATTAATCACAGTAAAATTGCAATTCATTATTTTTGCCGGGCCTCTGAGGTGAGCGGTGATAATGTCCCTTTAAGTGTTGAAATGAATCAATTTATACCACAGGTTTAACACCACAACAAGTATTCACGGTCACCATATATATCAGGAGTAGACTGCATATATATGTGTATATTTGTGACTTTATATTGGGGGGGGGTTCTTCCTCACCTCCTCTCCCTCCTCTCCCACCTTCCAGTCCTCCTGCTCCAGCTCGTTATAGAGCGCCTCCCGGCTCGTCATCAGGTTCTGACGCCTGATCTCGCTCGTCCTCTGCTCCCACACGGACTTGTTGCCCTTGGCGTGGTTCTTCTGCTGCTCCTTCCTGTCAGAGGACGAGTGTTGGGGGAAGCACAACGATAAAGAAAAGACAAAAAAAAAAGCAGAAGCTGTGATGAATAAAGGCTCACGTGTGAGGACAACAGGAGACAGAAGACTGACGTAGTCCTAACAATACAGTAAGACAGACCTGGAGTCAGGCTGGATCCAAACTGAACTTGTAACAGTCAGTAACTACTGACGAGTGACTTGAACACTTGGACTCAATAATGACTTACTACTGACCACTACTGTGGAAAACGTCTTTTTTCACTCACGCAGCTATGGTCAGGTTGGCCGCTGACAGAGGACTGACTTCTGCCACCTCCTTCGCCTTCTGCAGCGCCGTCTTCTGATTGGCCGCTTCCTCTTGTTCCTCCTCATCCTGTTGGAGCAAAGAATCATCTTCACATCACCAGGCGTATCAAACTCAATTTTTGGTTTTAGGGGCCGCGTACAGCCTGATTAGACGTCAAGTGGGCGGGGCCAGTATAATCATAACAAAGAAGTACAAATATATAAGAAAACAATATATATTTAATGAAATATTTGACAAAACATCACTAAGATGCCTGCGGGCCGTATGTTTGACACCCCTAGATTAAACTAATGCATTTGACCCCCTGCTTTTTAACATCAGCCACGATGTGTCGTCTCATTATTTCTGAAGAAGTTTTGATCTTCCACTGCACCTTGGTGAGCTCCTGAGCGTTGGCCAGATTGTCAACAGCGATGGCCAAGAACACATTAAGCAGAGTGTCTGAGGAAGAAGTTAAGGAGAGAAAACCTGGAGGAAGACGTGCAGCTGGAGAAGAACGGAAGAGAAAAGTAAAAAGACTAAATTTCATTCATCAATTTGCTTTTAACTCTAACCAAAGTGGATTACTGAAAAAGAGAAGTAAAATGAAATTTGTGAAGCTGTGAGGAAGGATACAGTTGCCAAAAAGTGTGAGGACGATGAAGAAGATGGAAAAGACCATTCCCTTGTCGTTGACTCCTCCCTGGGACTCGATGCCGTCGTACATCACCATGTTCCAGTCCTCACCCGTCAGGATCTGCAAAGAAAAACAAAATAAAGCTGCAATCTTATATATTTAGTTATGACTTACTGTGATTGGTGAAAAGGTACCTGACTGATAGCACCCCCTACCTTTAATATCAATGAACTACTTCAAAATAACATGTTAAAATGCTCTGATGATTGACACAGACTGAAGTGAAATAAACGTCCAGAGGACGTGGGTGCGTGAGTTTACACACGAGGACAAATGCAGACACATGACGTCTGAGTCACTGACAGACACAAACAATGGCTTTTAACAAAAAAACCTTGTTCTCTGAAACACGAGTCAGAGCCGAACGATTCTGTCTGACAAACCGATGACATGAAAACAATGGTTGCCATTTAAAGTCTGACAATGTTGGCAAAAAAAAAAAACCCAAAAAACACAAACACATTCAGACAAGTGTTTGTATAGACCTGTGGAATCGTCACTCTCCAGTGTGGGTTTGTCAAATCTGTTGTTGCTGCAGCAAAGTATTTTCTAGAAAGTATTCATTGTCATTACAACATGATGGCGTTAGTGAGTCATTACATCGTCCACTAATACTAATCCCTGTGTTTTCTTCAGCAGCTAAAAGGTGAACTTTACTACAGTTGTACGTTTAGTACTTTTACTCAGATTACTTTTTGTCTCGCCGATCACACGGTCTATGTCGTGGAACAATGCTAGCCCACATCTTGCTTGGTCGCGAAAGGATTCTGGAACGTCGATAACTTAAGCATTCCTAGGACATTTGACTTTTCCTTTAATGTTCCATGTTTTCCATGGCAGTTAAATTGGTCTTTGATTTTCTAGGTTTTTTCTCCAGGAAATGCGAAAAAAGTTCGTAAATTGGTCTTTGATTTTCTAGGTTTTCCAGGAAATGCGAAAAAAGTTCATATTTACAGTTAATTTTAAATTCTAAAGATAACAACTGGAAGATTCTGGAATAATAACCAGATTCCAGGCCAAACCCAAACTCCTCACCTGAAAGACTGTCATAATCGCTGCAGCGAACGTGTCAAAGTTGGTCGGTGGTGTTCCGTTCTCAAAGTTGAATCTGAGAAGAAGCGTAAAAAGAACAAATTAAAAAAAACATCGTAAAAAGTAGAAGGTGGAGAAACGCGAGAAATGAGCAATCTGAGAAGAAGCGTAAAAAGAACAAAGTATAAAAAAAACCATCGTACACTTAAAAAGTAGAAGGTGGAGAAATGAGTGCGTGATGATACTGACTGTCCTCCAAACAACTGCATCCCCAACAACGCAAAGACAACGATGAAGAGAAAGAGCAGGAACAGCAAACTGACGATGGACTTCATGGAGTTTAGGAGGGAAACCACCAGGTTCCGAAGAGGAGCCCAGTACCTGAGGAGCAGATTCAAAAAAAAAAAAAATCATCTAACTGTTTTCAACAATGTCCAAAAAACGATTCAAATTAATAGATTAAAACTGGGAAAAATCTTTGAAATCAGCCTTTACTTGGTAACTTTAAAGATGCGCAGCAGTCGTAGAGCTCGCAACACGCTGATCCCAAAGGACGTGCCTGGTTTGATGGTGGCCCACACCACCTCGAAGATGCTGCCCACGATTACCTGCCGACACACGACACGACACGGTTTGTTGACTTCACTGATGTCAATGAGTCGAATTAAAAAAAGAAAAAAGGTTAAATCTTTGCTACTGACATTTACCCTTAAGTTCATAGGTGAATTTTTGCTATTGGTCGAACAGTTGTACCATAACGTACTGTATCATTAACGGTATTGTTACAGCAGAGGTTGACAAATATCTGTTTGTTGTTGATTTGGTTTGACCAGTGGTTGATGCACATTCAGCACGGACTAACATGATGATGTCACTGACGCAGGGAAACATAAGAGTGTGTAGATGACTGTGTGTGTGTGTGTGTGTGCACTCACCACACAGTCAAAGCAGTTGAATGAGGAGTGAAAGTAAGGCTGGATGCCCAGTCCGTACATCTTGATCAGCATCTCGGACATAAACAAACCCAGAAAGATGAACTCTGCATAGACTGTAGGGAGAAACAGAAGGAGGGAAGGGGGAGATTTAGGGGAGATTTGGGGGAGGAGGGGAAAATGATGAGGATGAGTGGAGGGCAGAGGAAATGACAGAAAATCAGAAAGAGTGAATTCAGATGAGAAAAGGTTGACGCTCAAGGCTACTACTTAAATAGTAGTTGCGGGGCCTAGCTACACATGCTAAGCTAACACCCTGGTGTTTAAGATGGACTGGTTCTGGAGCAGCGACGTAACTGTTGAAGATCTGATCCAGCAGCTCAGTCAACACTGCTCTGAAAATATATTTGGGTTGGAGTAAAAAAAAAAAAGATGAGAAAACACTGCAGTGGGCAGTGGTCCAGTAGGGGGAGACACCAGCAGAGTGGCCACTGAATACAAAGTATTTTTTTGTATATTTTGGAAACAGCAGTTTCATCTAACTGAGGGGACAACGGTCTGATTCAGTGAAGTGATTGTGTGTGTGTGTTAACCCACAGAGGAAGTCAGAGAGGAGCTCCGGCTGGTCATAGTGCACGGCGGCCACACACATGGTGTTGAGGCCGACCAGGCACAGAACGGTCCAGTAGAAAACCTGGGTCTTCACGATCTTGCGGATGAAGAATCTCATCCGTCGCTCCTTCTTGCTGTATTGCGTATCTTTACCATTCTTTATGCTGGTGTGGGCAAAACCTGGGGGGCGAGGGGCGGTGGAGGGTGGAGGGTGGAGAGTTAGATACAACATCAACAACACAGCACACTTTTGTTTTATTTTTTGTTTTTTGGTTCAGTGGTTAAGACTCCAAACGTGTGGTTTCACTGTCACGTCCTCTCACCTACGGCGTCTCCCATGTTGTCCTCGCCCTCCTCCGTGTTCAGCAGCTCCGTTTTGTTGTTTTTGGTTTTAATGGTTGGCCTTCGCCTCGCACCTAACCCGGGAGAAACAGCAAACGTTTATTTATTCCACTGCCCACTGAGTCACCGTGGGCAGTGACTTTGACGCGACCGTCATTTACCATCAAAGTTTTCTGTGGTGTCTTCCTCGGCCAGAATCACTTCCTCTGTGGAATTGAAACGAAACCGAGCGTTAGAGCTGGGAGTGAGGCCCGGGTGGACTTATGTGGGTCCTGCGTGTCATGCATGTGTGCACTGACCTGCTTTGCAGATCCACTCCAGGTAGCCGTTGAGCTCTCTCTCGATCTGCTGCTGTCGCCTCAGCTTGAGGAACTCGCTCCTGTTCTCGACTCGCTCTCTCTCTTTGGCAAATTCACTGTGGGCGAGTTGGTCAAAAATACATTTAATGTTAACATACAAGTACACAAAAGGGAGGATTTAAAAAAAAAGAACATTGAGTGGGCACTGACCCTGAGAGTACACCCAGCACCAGGTTGAGCATGAAGAAGGAGCCGATGATGATGAGAGGGATGTAGTACATCCAGTTCCAGGCACTGCCCTCTACATCGTTACTCTACACAAACAAACAGGTCTCGTTACAGTTTAATTAACACAGACCAAAAAAGTCAGTATGTGTCATGTCTAAAGCATCACAATGTATTGCAACATATCATGTTGTTGGCCCTGTATCATGACATGTATTGTATCGACAGATTCTTGCTCATACTGCACATACAAGTGTATTGACATGTATTTATTACATTTACATATATAATTTTTTTTTCTCCAGTGCTTATATGTTGTCTGCAGACGTACAGTTTAATTAACACAGACCAAAAAAGCCATTTACATATATCTTTTTTTTTTCTCCAGTGCTTATACGTTGTCTGCAGACGAAAAAACCAACATCTCCAATCGATTTTCCAAACTTTGGTTTCGTCCGTGGTACTTTCTGTTTGAAGCCTACTTGAGGTCCTTTGTGTGTTTGCTGTTGGTTCAGTTTTCCACTTTGACTCATCTAACACTCTCTTTTTCTCCAACCTACTTTGACAGTAAAGTACATCTAACCCAAGAGGAACAGATGCATCAGGAGGAACTTTCTGTTCTGCGCAGGATCCGAGGGGAACTCAAGCATTCATTATGCTGGCTCAGAAATGACCCATTTTCTAATTTAAAACTGACCTGGATGCAGAAAAGTATTTCTGAGCACACATTCAGGTGCAGATTAGAGTTTTCTTCGCCCATAACAGACGAACCAGACGAAGACCTTTTTTTTTTTTTTTTTTTTTTTTTTTAATTAAGGCCCAACTTTTTAACAATAAACCTGAAAAAAGAACTTTTATACACGTCACTTCAAGACCCATTCCCAATTTCTTATCGTTCCTTCTCTTCGTTCATCCCGTACTCCTCACAGCTTGAAACCAAGAAAATTAAGAAATTTATAAATTCAGAAAATAGGACGAACCCCCCCCTCTATCCCTCCTGCCTCCTCCTCCCTCCAAAAAGATGGCAAGTCATCTGTAGTCACCAACATGGAGCCATCTGTTGTAAAGCAGCTCGTCTGCTGGTCATTATTTCCACTCGCTAAAATGATAATCTGTTAATGTCGCTGAACTAAATTATACATTGTCCTGTGATGATTTGGACACTAGTCCCACGGAGACGGCTGCAGTGGTAGTAGCGTCGATGCCGTAGTAGTGCAGTGATTGCACACCATGTGTGGTGTTGAGTTTCAGTCACTTCCGTCGTCTCTGACGGCGCCTGCACGGAGGCGTCTGTCCAGACGGGCCAACGGCGACGAAACTGTCTGACAACATGTCACTTTCCTTCTTTCACCAAACAAATTCAGCTGATAACCGGACAAATCAGGTTAGCGGGCGCTATCGCGTCTCTGTGACCTGTGTGACGGTTAAATGGAACGATCAGCTGATTATTATCTGCTGCTGCTGCCGCTCGGTTGGGTTTTTACACTACACGGCACAGTGAAAGCCGACTGTTCTCTATTAAACTTTCATTGGTTTCCTCCTGACGGTCTGTGAGGGTTTGAGAGCCGACCTCCATCTATCAGAAAAGATGTTAAATATAGAGGAAGATGGACGATAACGGAGGAGGAAGAAAAAAGACGGAGGAGCGTGGAGGGGAGCGGCGTTTCATTTAGAGTGAAAATGATAGTTCTTAAATGTGACAAAAATGTTTTTGTGTTTATTACGGGAACACAGGTGTATGTGTGTGAAATGTTTTTGTGTTTATTACGGGAACACGGGGTAAATAACAGCAGCCAGGTGTGTGTGTTTCACAGCTGTTTATATTTCTGACCAATCCAAATGATGGAATTATCAATTAGAAAAAAATGTCAGGAAAAATATGAAAAACTTTGAAACCCTCACAAACACATGCTGGGGGTTGAGATGGTATTTTAAGCTTGAGGTAAATGACAGCATGTGTATCGACCGAGTGGACGGATGGACAGTGGAGTTATTGGATATAAAATATATAAAAAGAGGGTTTGATTCTGCCCATACATAAAAAAAATTGTAATTTTAGTTTGAATATTTAAAAAAAAACATTTAAATAAGTAGAGATAAATATAAAGAAAAATGTTAAAAGAAACATTTGGCTCCTGATCCTAACAACTTATAGTCAGGACAACTCACGTAGTAGAGCATGTCTGTCCATCCCTCCATAGTGATGCACTGGAAGACGGTGAGCACTGCAAACAGGATGTTGTCAAACTGGGTGATGCCGTAGTTGGGTCCCAGCCAGCCACCTCTACACAGAGTACCGTTAGGACACAGGCGTGACGGCAGCTCGAGTCCACATGGCGTTTCGTCCTTGGTCTCGCCTGTTGGAAGAGAGTGAATGAAAGATAAAAAAAAATAAAAATAAGATTTTATAATTTGTCATAACGATTGCAGGGCAACCGGCATGAATACAGATGTACAGTAAACCCTTGTTTTTCGCGGGGTTTACGTTCCAAAAAGAACCCGTGATAGGCAAAATCCGTGAAGTAGAAATCTTTTTACAATTAAATACTCAGAAAAAGAAGAGAAAGAACGAACAAACCATTTTACAGTCTCAACCATTTGTTTCACAAATAAAGTAAAATAAAAGTACTTTAGAAACGTTTCAACAAATAACTTCTGTAATGTACTGTCAAATAATAATTTTAATCATCAACGTGAACAGAAGGCTTCAAATTGCGGAGATTAGCACCGCCCACCGTGAACGGGAGAAAATTAAAAATGATTATGAAAAAAATACAAATTACCTGTACAGTCGGACAAATAGTGACTCAGCTTTATTGCTGCTGTCTTCCTTATGTTTTTTTCTTCCTTCTTTATGGAACGAACGGAAGATTCATTAATTCCATAATGGCGACCCACAGCCGCATAGCTTTTAGCTTCAATTAGCATGTCCAATAGATTTACTTTATCACCGATAGACAGCATCTTCCGCTGCCTTTTGGGCCCCACCGCAGGTACTTTTGCCGGGCCAGAGCGCTTTGTCGACATTATGGGGTTTGATAAACTCGAAATTGCAAGAGAATTTGCACGTACGTAATGTCAATTTGGCTGTTTTACGTACGTGTACATATTAAACCGCAACGTTATTGGCGCACAGGTAGAGAAGAAGCGGAGTGACTTTTTAGCCAATCAGAAGTAGCGAAACCGTGAAAAGTAAACCGCGTAAAAGCAAGGGATCACTGTATTCCATATCTTGTTTTGTCTTTCGACCCGTGACCATGGAGAATAACTACTGGCCTTCTGGTATTTCCATTTCCTACCTGTGATCTCGTCATAGCAGGTGGTGTGAAACTTTCCCATGTAGAACTCCAGGCCGATGATGGCGAACATGAGAATGGCCACAAACAGCAACAGGCCAATCTGTAGCAGAGGGATCATGGCCTTCATAATGGACTTGAGCACCACCTGCAGGCCTGGAGGACACAGTAGGACACAGGGACTTTAGAAACAAAGAATGTAAGCAGAACAGAAAGTTAGTTTCTCAGTTCGGGTTGGTGCTGCCACTTACTGGGGATTCCTGACACTAGCTTCAGAGGTCGCAGCACTCTGACAGCTCGTAGTGTCCTCAGGTCGAGCTGAGAGCCCACTGATGACAAGATACTGTAAAGAGAGGGAGCAGAAATCTTCACCATCTTCACCAAAGACTGTAATTATATTCCATTTGATTCCTTTTAAGTGTTCGCTGCCCCCTGCTGGTACCAGAGATTAGAGAGTGTGGGTTTGAAGCACAGGCAATAGAAAAAAAACAGGAAGAAATACAGCAGTGAATGTCCAACATCATCAGCATGGTAAATAATTCCATTAAGAATTAAAACAAAAACAAAAAAATCAACAATTTGGTATTTAAGAAAATAAGGAAAATTTAAGGCTAAACTGACTGGAAATTACAATTTCACTTCAGTTAAAAAAATACAGATAAAGAGTAAAGCAGCTTATAAAGTAATCAATACAGTTATTATATATAATTATTATCTTTATGTACCCTCCCCTCCCTCCCCCAGCTCCGGCCCTGTCCTCCCTTCTTCCCAGGTTGGTTGCTAATTCCAGTAAGAGGTCATTTATTAACTGATACAGAGCTGGCAGCCAAGACCCTCATTCCCTCGATGCCTTTTTAACTGCCGGAGCTAAAGGCCGCGGCTGCAGACCTGAAAAAATCACTGCACATCAGCAAAATCAGCAAACAACAACCTGAGGTCCAGTAAAGACCGACATGAGTCACTGACAGAGCAGGACATGAATGTGGAATATTGTTGAAAAAATACAAAAAGATTCAAGCTGCTTCCACCGTGGCCAGGGAAGAAGGAAATTTTCAGTTAGAGATATTTTTTTTTTTTTTTTTTTTTTGCATGGGTGAATAGATAGGAGGCGCTAAAGCAGATGGTTTGATTCCCACGTCAACAGGATTTCCGTGTTATTTACATCGTTAGTTTTTCCTGCGTCGTCTGCACCTCATGTTCATTTGATCTGAGGACGACTGCAGACTCCTGGTGTTCATCCATGAGAGACAGCAACCATGCACTGCTGCTACACAACCTAAACCTCCAGGATGCAGTCACCCCTGGCAACAGCTAATCCTATCCCATAGCATCATAAGGTGGCCAGTAGAGGGCGTTTAGTTTGTGCAGTGATGGGAATAGAAGGGAGGAGAAAAATGCAAGAAGGAAAATCTGGAGAAAAGAGTAAAGTTTTTTTTTTGTCACCATGGCTTAGAAAAACCCCAGATCAGAAAGTAGAAATAAAATGGAGCGATTAAGAAAATGTACAGGTTCAGTTTGTATGAATTGGGAACATGGAATTAAAGCAGGTTCGTTGACAGAGTGTAGAGGCTAAGAGTGAAGATTTGAAGAGGCGACGAAGTAAAGACTCCACAGAAACCCACCAAATCCTCTGTAACTCACAGGACAAATATGGGAAATAACCAGTTTATCTGAAGAAGAAAATACATCGAATTAAAAAAAAAGGTATTTCATACGATACTGATCTTAAATCAGAGCCTGATGGATGTGAACGACTAAATGATCCATACTTCTATGACTCAGACTCATGATAATGATCCAAACTTCTCGTCTTTTAGAAGAAGTGCGTTTGACTACAGGACAGATCTGTCTCGGCTCGACGTGGACCAGAGACGGAAACGTCTCTAAAGGAAAAACAGACTGAGAAGGGATGTGACTTCCCCCAGAGAGACCGGAGTGAGAGGAGAGAGTGAGCGGATTGAAAGGCAGTGATAGTCCTGTTAGTCAGAAGTGTGAGATTCAACCGCTGAGAGACAAAGAGAGGAGAGGGAGGAGAGAGGGGAGAGAGAGGGGAGAGAGGGGAGAGTTTTATCTGCAGAGGGAGAAAGTGTTTGGACAGTGATGACAGAGGCTCTCACTGCTGGGAAACACCTACCGACCAGTCACACACACACACACACACATGTAGTCTATGCACACACACACACGCACACACACACACGTAGTCTATGCATGTGTGTGTGTGTGAATATATATTCATATATATATGAGTGTATATACTGTATATATAATTATATATATATACTCATATATATGTATATATGTATACACATATAAAAAAGTATAAATATGTAAACATGAGTATACATATATACTGTACATACACTATATGTGTGAGTGAGTGTGTCAGACTGATTGGTATAATGTATGTATGTACATAAATATGTGTATATATGTATATATATTGATATGTACATACTGTATATACACATATATACCTATATGTGTATATATGTATACATTAATATATATACATATATGCAGATAAACAAATGTACATATACATATATATATAAACATATATTGTATATATGTACATATATATATATATATATATAAACACAGAACAGAACAGTAGTATTCCATGTGGAACAGCGATTCATGTCTAGATTAGAAGCTGAGTTTGTTAAATCTGATGATTGAGAAAAGTGTGAGGAACTGGATGTTGTCAGAGTCGAACACACGTTATCTACTAGTTTTTAAATTCTGTTCCAGTCGACCACGTCCATACCTAAATATAAACCTAAATATAACGTCAATTATTGTGAGAGTCACAGACGAAAACAGCCCTAAAAGACCTGCGCCTCCCTGTACTTTCCATAGAGGGTGACAAACTCAACATAATGACCAGGACGATCGAAGAGTGACGACTGAAATCTTTGAGGTCACTCGTCACCTCTCCTATTCTTTTTTTTTTTTGCCCCCCCTCCACCCGCCTCCTTCACCGCTCTCCCTGTTCATGGCATTGCCATGGCAACCGGCAATTCCTCTCATTGCCGAGTCTCCACGGTTACCGACCTGCTCTCATTCATAAGTGTTGCCAGGGAAACACAACGTTGGCTCATTGATGGAATCTCGGCATCGCCACAGCGGCGGTGACCAGAAGAGGGTCTCCTGCCGATTGGTTTTCAACCCACATACCCCCCCCCCGCCAACGCCCCCCCACCCTCATACACACAGATGTGAGTGCACCTATTCTTGTACTTCTATTCTAACCTTCACCTCTCATCCTTACCTCAATTCTACCTGCGTTTTTTTACCCCAGCGTTTAGAGGAAAGAAAAAACAAAAAGATCGACAAAATGATGAAAAAAAAACAACAAAAAACAAGCACATCAACACACACACACACACAGACACACACACAGACACACACACATGCAGCTGAATCTGATGACAGTGACGAATGCAGCACAGCTCAGGTGGTAGAGATGACCTATTTTCTCTGCAGCTTCTCGCTCGTTAAAAACCTGCCGTTTTTTTTAGGTATTTTCTTCAACGTTTTCTTAAAGGCAAATGCGAAACAGAAAAACTAAACATAATTAACCAGTAACTAACGAAGCCTGTAAGTCATTAATGCAACTGATAGAAAGAGTTGATCAACGACACCAAAAAAAAGATGAATTAAAGAGGAAGTGAATGAGTGAAAATCAGAAAATAATAAAAAATAAAGCTGTTTCAAGAGAGTCGATATTTTCAAAATAAAAGCTCCTGTGTTCCTGATACGTGTGTCGTCACCAGATCTTTCCACACAACATCGCTATGATATGTGTGTGTGTACATGTATGTGTGTGTGTGTGAGTCTCAGTGGGAGACACCGGGAGGACGAGAGCACACACTGTGATGGCACATGGCACTCCTACACTATCATACATACTGTTGGTACACACGAACATGCACACACACACAGGGTGGACATTATTAATATTATGGAATTTTAACAATATGTTCAAAAGGCAAAGCACGACTAAGTCGGTTTAAATTTCAGATTGTTTTTAGTTCGCCAAAACGAAGCTAACGTTGAATCAATTTGGAAGAAAATATAATGCGAAAATTTCCTGCTGGAAAAATGTTTGAAAATTGTCAAAGGATGTTTGGTTTAGAGATGATGTTAGTGAGTTTTCAGCTGACGCAGTATGAAGAAGAGAATAAGAACAAGAACGACCGCTGACCTCTGACCTCCGACAACAGGGACCAAGAGACAAATGTAGCAGTCAGGTCCCAGGTGATTCAGAAATGTGAAATTTATCTACAAATAATCTAAAATATTTTCAACGTTCTTTTGACTGATTGGAATTCAAAGCACTCCTGAACGCAGAATTATCGTTAGTAACGTTGACCACGGTTTCCAGAGAAAAATGAATATCAATTATTTTTTGAAAGAAAAAAGTCATTCACAGCATAATTTTTTTTTGGTTTTTGTTTGTTTTTTTTTTTAATCCATCCCTGGGGGGCGATAACGAGGCCACAGGAGGAAAAGTGAGCTCAAAGAGTGGAGTTCAATCTCTGCTCTGTCATTGGCTGCTTGTGAACAGAACAGAAAAATATTAAAGGGAGGTGTGAAAAACAAATGTGATAAAAAAATAAAAAACCTTAGCCCCCCCCCTCCCCCCTCCCCGCCCTCCTCCCACCCCAACTCCCCACTCCTTCCTCCCTCCTGCTCTTCATAGAT